TGGCTCTGACGCGGAGTGGAGCGATGGACGGCTTGTGGCAGCATATTATGGGCAGCGACCGGACAATAAGATCTTGCTGGACAAGCTTCGTTAACTTCTGCTTTCGCAACTATCATGAACGAGTTATCGGCGTTATCGGCAGGGTCATTCTGCTCTCATGCCTCTGTCGCAGGTTAGTGATCGGGATGGCAGGCCTGTGACTCCCTGTGCAAGTAGAAGGATCTGCCCAGTGGGCAAGTGAGTAGCCGTATACCATCAGGACACTTGCACGAACATGCTTTGCGGAGCTTGCACGATTTCACAGGATACGGTGGTGCCCATGTGACCCCTGCGCGAGATTCTGTTGGTGCAGTAGTGTCACGTGATCGTCTTCTTTGAGTATCTGGAGCTTCAGCTCGCTTTTGTTGTGAAACTTGTGTCGGTTCCTGGGCAGGTCCAGATGTGTGGGGAGTGAGCAGTGAGCAGGAGTCTTCGGCACTGGCGGTTCTGCAGGTCCATGCACTTCTCTTAAGATTTTGGTACAGGCTCCTGTGATAAGACTTGGTGTGCTCATGCAGGTAGCAGCAGACGGAGAACTTGCGCTCGAACAGGCAGATTTGCTCCAGTTTGCGTGCAAGCAAAACCATTTGAAGATGACTTCGGCACCAGTAGTTTTTTGCATAGATCAATGCCTGTAGAGTTACAAGGCAGATGAACTCCACTCTGGCTTCAATTCGATCCCGTTTTAAGACATGTTTCCGCCGACCTTTGGAATCTTGCTAGGCTAGATGTCGACTCTGCGAACTGCGAGAGTTCGATCCCAATCAGTTCTTAATGACCGATCTCGTCCATGCTGCAAGCCACAAACCTTGCATCATTGCGCGTATTGACCGTGAGGACCTTGTTTGGCAAGTGGTCCTCTGCTCATCAGGCCATCCAATACACAGGCACATCAATTGTGCGTTTGTGCCTGGTGAGCATCAGGGCTGGATCAGTGTGCACGACATGTTCAACTGGCTTGGTCAACAACTCCACAGTGCTGCCGGCATACTTCTGGAGGAGGCCTGAAAGGTTGAGTCATTTTGAGTTCGGTGTCCATGAAGAATCAGTTACACCGGTGGCTTTATGTTGATCTCATGGGAAACTGTGCTGCTGCACCTCTACCACGGGGATGCCGTTCTGCGTTTGAAGCCGTAGATCCATGCGCTGTTATGTGATCAATTTCATTGAGAGCTGGTGTCCACTCTTTGAGTTGTATTGCGGAGGTGGCAGCCGTGCTGGCCCCTGTCCTGAATGCCCATGGGGAACTCCGCTGTGCACTCATTTTTTCAATCTCTGGGTCAGCATCGAGGAGGGTGTATCCAAATTTGCCGGATCAGGCTATGATGGCTTTCTTCGCCTGGTGTTGCCGCGGGATCCTGCCAATTCGTGGCTGAAGGCAGATCCACTCTCACCGATCTCCTGCTTGGCATGTTGTCTTTTTCAGGAAGCTACTCTGCTGCGAAGCGGCCACTATGGAGGCCTTCGCTGTGACAAGGAGCTCCTGAGACACTCTTTGGTCAGCGCAGGTCCAGCCACGCAGGTCATACCGAATGAGGTGTCTTACAGGCCATTTGATCGGATGCGTTGTGTGGTGCTGGTCCTTTGCTGGTCTTGGCTCTGAGGTTCTGCCGCTTGGTCGAAGGCGAGCGAGATCTCATCGCGCGTTTGAAGCCAAGCCAGTCATTGTGACTTTGCCAGAATGTCCCTGTGTGCCCACAGACGGAATGCGATGAGGAGATATGCCGAAAGCACAATACTTTAAAAGCTGAAATCAGATGACATAGGAGTCATCAGCCATGTTTGGCCAAGGTCTCGGCATCCAGAGGCGCCGCCTTGCAGATCTGCAGCCTCAACGTAAATTCTTGGCCAGCCCCTCAGCTTCTGCTCTTGGAGTTCTCTGCCTCTGAGACTGGCTTTGGAGGTGGGGTTGCTGACTGCCCCGGGTGGACCCCGCCATTCGCTGGTGGATCGTCTCAAGGCTCATGCATGTACTTTGCTCGGATTCTTCGCTACAGCCACCATCTCTGAAGGTCTGTGACGACCGGCGCTGTGAAGGCTTACTACGCCGTGTTGGCCTTGAGAACAACTGGACAAGCGGCGGCATAATCCCTGCAGCCTCTGCTGAGGAGCCAAGGGAGCAGTTGCACCAGGTCTTGTTGGATCTGATGCATAAGCTGATAACCTTGGAGGAGCTTGTGGACTTCATCCTGAAGCTGCAACCAGGCAGCTTGGTGGCTTGGTACAAGCTTTTGCAAGCATGTGCAGGTTTGCAGAATGGGGCCCTTGACTACATGGTAGGTTGGATTCGTGGTGGCCCCGAGATGAGAGCGTTTCAGGCACTGAATTTCAGGAACCGCTGCCAGCAGATGGCGTTACCTGGCAGGCAGCCACGAACCAGCGAGGCCCTTTGCAGATGCAGCATTGATGTGTTGCCGTGGGTGGTTGTGTGCTACAGACCTCCTTAAAAAGGTGACCTCCTGTCAGACGTTGCCCTTCAAGCTTTGGTGGCAGGATTCAGGAGGGCTGGCTATCGTAAGTCGGTCTGACTGAGTGGGGGGTCCCTGATCAGATTCAGGCTCAGGTCAAGTCGGGGAAGTGTCTAACCTCTTCCCTGTGTGGAGTAGGCCAAGCTTTTGTTGCCAGGCGAGCCTCGTGGAAGTTCTTGTGGCAGCCCGAGGATGATCGCAAGTTGGAAAGCTTGACTGAGTTTTTTGCTTCGTGGCCTGCCGGCCGCCACAATCCACACGTCGAAAATTGCAGGAGAGGGGCTCCAAGCTTGGGTAGCTATGCCGCCTGCGCGGCAAGACAGGCCAGTTCCATGTGGTATGAGGACGATCGTAAGACTCACGAAGACATGAGAGTCCTCTCCTGGGCTGCTGGATGTGTTCTTTGCAGTAAGCTCGGAGGCTGCCATGGAAGCTAATTTGGGAGGCTGGTGCCGGCAGTGCTTGCTCAGACCTAAGGGCTTGAAACTCGCCAGGCTCGATTGCAAGACAAGCGCAATTGGGGCAACTAAGTCCAGGTGGGGAAGGGACTGTGAGCCTGTCATGTGACGGATGGTCGCCTTTTGTCTGCTTTGTCGATATATCAGCAGCAGCAGCGACAGCTGCACTGGAAGCAGCATTCGCAATTCGTGGTAACTCTGGTGGTGGTGGTGGTGGTGGTGGTGGTGGTGGTGGTGGTGGTGGTGGTTATTCTTGGTGGTGGCAGTGGCTCAAGGTTTCAAGGTGCATGGTGTTTGAGTCCATGTGTGGAGACTGTAGATTCGATTGAATTAGTCCAGGGGGGGTGTGAGTGGTAATAGTTGCAGGTCGATCCTCTCGCTTTCTCTCTCTCTCTGGATGCGGTAGGAAGGGCTATCACAGAAATGCATGATCTAGTGTTTGCATTGGTTTGTTTTGCGCCGTCAGCTTTGAATGATCTGCAGGTGGGCCTGGTGCTCCTCCCAGAGCACCCCTGTGGCAGTCGCGGGAGTGGCCTTTCAGGCATGATCTTGACATCTGTGCACACTGGGGGGGAGTGAGGACATGCAGCGTTCTTCTTCATGAACGACTTTTCATGGAAACATATATTACCCCTTAAGGACCCCTCCCCACCCATTAAGGATCCCACACTCCCTACCCCAGACTATTGGGCCTTATGAGAGGGATGCAGTGTGCTTGGGTGGAGGTGTCTTTAAGCGGGGCTAGTAAGTACTGGTAAATACTCCCATGGCTTTTGCATCTTTTGAGAGCAGTGGGAAACTGACGATTGTGCGAGCAGATGCTTTCAGGCAAGCAAATGGTGGAAGCAGGCCACCATTTGCTATGTTGCTTCCAGTGAAGGTTTGGTTGCTTAAAATTTCATACTAAGGATTATGCCATTTTTTCGGGTCTATCTTGGGGTTCATTATTGATGGAAAGTGCCAGGTGCTTGGGGGCTGAAACTTGATCAGGGACAGAGCCGATCTTCCTGCCGATGCTCGCAAACCCGTGGTCGACATGATCATCCCGGCTCATCAGCACCCTCCTCTTGTTTCAAGTTCCTTGTTCCTTCAGGCTCAGATGCTCCGGGATCTGAGGCTCTCGCCACCCCCACCGCCGATGCTTGCCCAGCTCTCAGTATAGAGGGACTGCAAGATTACGAGGTCAAGCGTTCTGAGCATGGCCTGAGGAGCCAGCAAGACCAGTTGGGATGTACCAGCCATCAAAGGCCAGGCAAAAGGTACTTGTAGCTAAAAGATGCCAAAAACTGGAAGCTGACCCAAGAGCAAGTGCTGCTAGAAGAGGCAGCAGCGTCTCCTCGCTCGCGGCCGGGTCCTTGGAGCTGCACAGAACTGAATGACCACTGCACACCAGCGAGGCCTGGATACGCTTCTCCAACCAGGAGCCAATTCCCCATGTGCTTAACTTACTTCTGTAGACCACGCATGTTGCATTTGTGAGTTGCACGTGTCGTGGGTCTCGTCTCATCTCGTTTCGTTATACTGACAGGAATGCCCCTCCTTCCCCACGGCCGCCGCGTGATCCGGCACCTTGGCAGTGCATGTTGGGTGCTCTGTGTTGCATCCAAATATTTGCATCCAAGGGTGCTCCACCGGGGCGCGTGGACGGTCGCGGATGGCCATGGTGGGAAGAAGAGGTAAGGTGGTTAAGGAAGGTTTACCCACCCTTTCCCTTTCATATTGTGAGGCACCTGGACGACCACGATCGCCTTCCAGAGGCGGGGCAGCAAAGTCTTTGTGATTTGAGCAGGTCAGCAGTCTCCGGCATTGACTCTGTCATTGGCTCTGTATTTCCGCAGGTCATGTCAGCAAGAAGACAGCAAACATGTCTCACAAGCTACCTTGTAAGGCTGACTCATTCCACGCCTGAACCTTGCAGCAGTATGAGCTCTTTTCAACCATAGGCTCACAGCAGGATCGAGTAGTCGTGAAGTAGCAGCAAGAAGTTCTCCAGCACCCCACCATCACACCACAGAGCCGACGGTGCTTGCTTGGAATGGGCTCCTTCAAGGCTTCAGCAGCCAAAGCAGATCTTGCCGTGACAGCGGTGGATTCGCTGCTGGTAGTTTCCTGGAATTCGGCTGGTTTCGCAAGGACCGCTCTGCTTCAAGTAACATTCTGCCAAGGCATTCCATGTATCCAGGACCCATGACCTCATCAAGAGTCATTTCGGGAGTCTCGATGCTTTCCTGGAGCGTCACCAGGCTGACGTCTTCTGCGTGCAGGAGACAAAAATCCAGGCAGCATACTTGAAGAGCTTGGCTGACTGCCAGCGGCTGGGAGCTACGTCGGCGCGTTACCGGAGTTTCTGGGCATTCAACACTGAGTCAGACCGCGGGTTTAATGGTGTGGCAACATGGATCAGGAAAGATCTCGCGCAACATGCCCGAGCCACACAGACGGTTCTACGTGATGAGATGGATAGAGAGGGACGTTGTTTGTTAGTTGACTTGGGCAGCCTGGCAGTCTTCAACGTGTACGCTCCTCGGTTACGCTTGACAGATGATGGGGAGGCGCAAGAAGAATCCTTGCAGCGAAAGGTGAAGTTCTTGCAGCTACTACAGGCTCGAATTGAAGAGACCCGGAGCCTTGGCAAGCAGGTCGTTATCTGCGGTGATCTGAATCTTACATATCGGGCAGTCGACGTAAAGCCTGCTCGCTTGTGCGTCAAGGTTGAGGAGGGTTGTATCCTTGGCCGAAGAGCCTGGCCATTGTCCGAGAAAGCCTGCCGTAAATCCGCTAAGGAAGGGGCGTACATAAGGGTTGCAGAGGCCATCAAGGAGTTACAAGCTCAAGTGACCATGACGGCGGAGCTGGCGAGGAGTTGTGTTGACGCTCTAAAGCCAGGTCCAGAAGGTCCCAGAGTGCCTACGGCTCTCACAGAGCTGCCATCAGACCTGCCTTCGCTTCCTCCAGATCGCATCCTGACGGGGATTACGCTCATCGAAGGCTCTGAGGCAAAGGCCCAGAAGGCTGCCTTGCCGAAGCTCTGGTGTTGGAGTGCAGCTGCGGCAGAGGAAACACCAGCAGGCAGTCTGGAAGGCACAGCTTTTGGTAAGCTGTTGCCGCGACTTTGCTGAAAGCTTGTGTGGCCCAGTTTGCAGTTTGCTCTGGTTCAGGCCTTGATGACCACCAGCTTGTGCTGATGGACTTTGGTATTCCCTTGGAATGGCTGGAGAAGTTGGCCGTTCTGCCGCACAAGATGACTCCTGGACTTGAAGATGCTACAGAGGTGCCCGAATCATCCTGCTTGCCTCAAATAAATTTCTTACCTGAAGCAAGGCAGGGGATTTCAAGAAAAGCACTTTCCAGTGTCTGTTAAGGACGGAGCCGCAGTGTGTCGACTGGCTGTCAGCCCTTGTGGGACCTGAAGGTGCCTTCGTCGACACATACGCATTCTGTCATGAATCTGTGCTTGGCCGATACACTGCCTGGAGCTGGCAATGCAACCACCGCTTCATAAACTATGGAACGCGTTTGGATTACATCCTTTGCGACAACTCCATGCCCGGAGCTTACATCAAGCATAGTGGCGGAAGCTCGTGTGAGCACACAAGAAGATGAACATCCACTGTGCTTCAGCGGATGGGGTTCAAGATCTTACCGAGGCAGAAGCACCTGGTGAGGACGCAGTCATCGGACCTTGCAGGCTCCTCGCAGCGACATGGAGCCGCTACAGCGGAGGCGTGAACCAACCAGTTGAGCAAATCATTTTCGGTGTGCGCTGCAGCAAGTAGCTGCTGACTGTTGCGAGCTCTGGCCGAATGCTAATTCGCTAGGGGTTGACTCAGTAGGAGGGGTTGAAGGTGAGAGGGACAATGCCAGAATGCTCCATGAACTTGCATGATGCGATGTGGAGTTCGCAGAAGGCGCGGAAGTTTCGCGGAAGTTCTGCGGAAGCTCCGCAGAAGCTCTGCGGAAGCTGTAGGATTGGTTTGGGAATCTTTGGCCGCTCATGTTTGTACGAAGTACAAATGCTTTTCAAGAACCCTAGCAGCAGTACTGCATCCGTGGCCATGTCTACCTCAAACTCCTCGGCAGATGTATATGAGGGCTCTTTCAAAGGGAAACATGCGCAGAAGGCTAGCTCCTGAACCTGAGCACCAGGCGGAAGGGGTGTTATTTCCAAAGGATTGATCATACTGTGAATTTTTACCTGCATCCTTGATAGGCCGCTTTGGATGCTGCAACCTGCTTCGGTGCTTGGCACGGCACCCCCAGAGTTGCCCACCCAAGTGCGCCCAGAGTTTCCGTCTGCCACTCAGCACCAGGGATCGCTCTTTTGACCTCTGCTAGTCTTTTTTTCGCAGCTCCACAGGGCATCAGCTAAGGAAGACGTTGGAGATCGAGGGCTCAACCTACAAAAGGATGACATGCGCTTGAACAGCTCCCAGTTCCGGCCACCGCACACTGGCATGTTGTACACTCCACCCAAGACGCCCGGCTAATTGGAAGTCTCTTCCTAAAGCTCTGGCAGACGAGCGTTGTGGTTGTTGTCCTTTGCACAGGTACTCAGATCACATTCCGGTTTGCGCTTTCTTCAAAGGCAGGGGGTGCGGATGACAACCTGAATTCAATGCATTGCTGCCAGGCCTCTCCCTGGTGGGCCAGTCGCCTGTGCTCTCTGAAGCAGAGACTCGACTAACGCAGCCCTGTGCCTCACAAGCCACATTGACAAACTTCTTCGGCGTGAAGAAGCCTCGCCTAAGTTAGCTGTTAGCTCCAGACAGACTGAGATTGTCCAGGATGAGGCAGCGCTGCCTCAAAAAGCATTGGGGATCTGAAGCAGTGTGCCTGGCACGACTGCAACTCTTAAGTATCTTTGTGGGGTTTTCGCAGACATTGCCAGAATGTTGCATCGAATCTTGCAGGGAGACATGCAAGATGCGTGGAGTTTCATGCTTCCAAAAGAACGGCAGCAAGCTTCTCATGCTGTGCCGGCAAAAAGGCGTGCCATCAGGTGCTTGCACTGCCCCAGGCAAGTGCAAAACGCAAGAATGCAGACAGTGCATCTCAAAGCATGTCAATGCATGTCAGGCTCCGGGTCCCCTGAGCGGCTTCAACCACGGCTGCCGCTGCCACAGCGCTCTGCACCACCTCGCTCGCCCTCTCCGTCCCACCGTGCCTGGCTGGTTGAGGCTTCCAGCTGCATAGGGCCAAAACGCCCAAAACGTCCCAAAACGAAGCATTGGTCGCTGCACGCCCCCCAGGCTGGCAGCTGCCCAAGCTGTGGAAGAGTTTTCCTTCAAGATGCTGTGTTCTGCAGCGGTTGTGGCAAGCGGCGTGACGGATCTCCTGCGATTGGGCTGCATTTGGCAATAGGGGTCTCCTGCAATGAAGAAATTGAAGCTGAGGTGCAGAACTTGGGAAGCACAAAGCTTCAAAGTCCATCACTGGGACGGTTGAGTCCCCAGCTGTGTAGGGCAATGTTTTGGCGTATCATCACCTTGCATCGAGGCCTGGCAAAGCTCCTGAGCTGCCTCCAGCATCTCCCAGGTACACTCCACGCCTAAAGGTGGCGGATGGTGTGTACGACTACGAGGCGCTCAAAAAAGCAATTCGCAAATGGGTTAAGAACTGATTCCTGTGCCAGGGTCCCCTTTGGGCTCCTCCGCAAGAGGATGTATCTGAGCTTCGCATGCTGCGCACAGTTCTCCAGGCCCTGTGCTGTATCTTTGAAAGGGGATGAGCCGACCTGTTGCCGCGGAGGCCATGGTTCGCCAAGCCGCCTGCGATGCCGAGGCTGAGGATGCCAAGGCACCGAGAGTGGAAAGTCTACGGAACCTGAGCGCTGGCACATCTTGGCAGGCTATGCTGGGACCTGGTGCTGGAGCTTGCGGACGGGCGCTTCGTTGCAAGCACAGATGGACCCGAGCAGGATTAGTTTGCATCAGGACTGCCGGCGTTTTTTAAAGTTCTCGACCCATTAGACAAGGCTGGAACCTTGTGGCATGAAAGGGCGCTTGTTCCCGACATGTGCTTTTCTGCCTGAGACGCTTAAGAGTTTGGGGGATTGCTTGAGCAAGCAATAGAGAGGATAAGAGAGGGTTTTGTGGCAGGTCTTTCATTTTCCTGAGAGGCAAGCCATAACAATGGCTTTTGCTTGTCCCTTTTTTGTTCGTTTCTCTTGTTGGCTTGAAACCTCGTCATTCCTGCCCGCCAGGGCCACGTTCTCGATACGGACCTTCTGCAGTTGGTCAAGGCACGACACAGAACGCGATATTTGACTGTCTGTGATGTGCCCGGAGGAGCATGAAGCACCAGTCTCCTTTGCCAGCCTTTGCTCCTTAGTCCACGAAGCTAATCTGCGACGAGGAGGCTGAAAGCTGGCAGCAGTCCATGACGTTCTTTCATTAGAGGGCCTTTGAGAGCAGCCTTCAGGAAGTCCGCTTGGATACCTCACCTTCCGGGATGTTGGGAAGCTGATCTACCCCATTCAATCCAAGGCTGGGTCATTGCCCGAGTTCCCCTCCCAAGTGCTTCTGCTGCTGGGAGGCGCGTGCCTTGAGACACAACAGAGCTTCCCTAAAACATCAGTCCTCAGATCATGGCAGCCTTTTAGAGTTACAGACAATGGTGGGCAGGGCTAACATCGTGCATGAATTGAGTTCGACTAGCAGGAATCACAGGACAGGGCAAGGTGGGTGAAGCATCAGGTCACGGGATAGCACATCATGGAAGCGAATGGGGATTTCGACCGCGATGGTTTTATCTTAGCAGCTGCTGGGACAGATTCTGGGGAGGGCCGAGGGTCCAGGAAAGTCGGGATTTTGAGTGTTTGTGGTTTGTGACAAAAGGGCTGCTGACAGGTAGTGCCGATCGGAATTTGCCTTTCGCTTCCACATGCCATATTCAGCCGATGCGTCCAGATGGTTTTGTAAGGGGAGTCAAGCTGTCACCAGGAGCGCTGTAGCAGCTGTGGTCAGTGCTGGTAGCTGCAGTGGGCCTGCAGAAACCATGGCAGAATCCCGGGAAATTTTACAACTCTTGTGCGGACATATTCAAACTGAGTTTTGGCTTAGTCCCTGTTGAAAAGGGAAGGCAGAAATTCCGGGAAGTGTGATGTAGTTTCACAGCCCGTTGAAGCAGGGGGGAGACGCGTTTCGAGACTCAAATGTCATAGTGCCTCGGATTGCTGTGTTCCCCGAAGCTGGTGATGTCTGGTGATGTTGGGAGATTTGAGGAGCGGAGTCCCTCACCTCGCAGGTATCCACCCAACCAGCGCATCCAACGCGAATTTCTGGGGCTCAGTTTGGTGCGGATTGTAAAAGGCGTGCACAGCGTTTAGAAGAAAAGGAGACAGTGATTTGTGACGGCCCACATCTTTGCTGCCAATGCAGCCGAGTTGCTGCATCCTTCGGCTTGCATCTTGCATGGCCGTTGCCAGGAATACAAAGCCATGTGCGAGTCCTCAACGGATGGAGAAGCCAAGTCAATCCTCTACCTGTTGCAGTTCTCGGAGCCGTGCCCACGCTGTACCGGGCCTGTAATGTATAGGTGGCATCAACACAGGTGCCTGCATCAGCCCCAAGGCGGATTTCGAATTCAGCGAGATTCCGATTCCGCTGGCTGCCCAAACGTGGTGTGCAGCCACTGCCAGGCTTCCTTCAGGCAGTGCCTGCTCGTATCGCTGATGTCGTGGCCATGGAATGCTGATGCCCTCTGCAGGTGCTTCGTGGTGGCCAGGCTCAGGACATATCTGGCCGATGATGCTTTGGGATGATGCTCTGCCAGGCCCTTTCTGGATGGACCAAGAGCTTCTGCTGCAGATCGCTATACTCTGTGCAGACTTGTGGCGGCTGTTGCTAGAACAGCTCAGGGCTGAGTTCTCCCATGTTGCACAGAGCTTTGGCGATGATCTCATTTATTGACACTACTTAGGCAGAGAACCTGGAGCTGGACCGAAAGAGACTGGCCGCCTACGTGGGGCTTGATCAGACCTGCTTGAAGCAGGTCTTCTGTTGCTTGGAAGAAAAATCACGATGAGGACTCCTTGCGACATGCTGCCTGTCGTCACTGAGATTACATTTCCTCTGGGCAGCCCACCTTCGATGTGGTGGGATTGCGTCAGGCACGGCCATTTGATGGCATGAGGATTGAGGGGGCTGAGATGATGGGTGCTGCGGGAAGCCCCGAGGCTTTTCGGGATCAACAAATCCCCGTAGCAGAAAAGGCCAGCTTGGTGAAACTCCTTCGGTTTGACTCCCAAGCACAGTTGGGCAGGAATTGGACTTGATGTGGCAGCGCTACGCCACAAGTCTTGGAGCTGGAGTTTCTTTGGAGCACTTCCAGCGCCAGCTGCGTGGGAAGCTCAGAGACGGGGGCCAAGGTTCTGCTTTTGCCCCAAGCTTCAGGATACGACCCCATGTGGACACCGGAGGGCTGCACAGCCACCAACAGGCACGTTTGCCCCACGCCGGAGGAAGTACTCCACCAACAGTATCCAATGTTGCTCAGGCTGCTTGTGGCAGTAGTGCAGACTGTCCTGCGGCAAGCAGTGGCCGATGCTGCTGCCGAAGATGGCAAGGCTGGCGAGGCTTCAGGCGGATGTCCACAGGCTAAGAAAAAAGCTTTGCCCAAGGCGCTGCGCCCGAAGTGCCCGCTCGTGGCGCTCTTCAGGAGCCTGGATCCGATGGGCAAGGCTCCGGCGTCTCTTGCTGCACCTCAAGGATGTGGGGGGACAATCGCGCTGCTACAGCAGGGCTACCTGCTGGACACCGACTTTTGGCAGCTAGTTCAAGACTTCCGGGGTGCCTGCACTTTTTCCAGCCTCTGTCCCACCCTTATGGCGAACATGGTGTGTCATCGTTGGCGTTTTACATGTGCATCAGGCACTCTCGTACAAGAAGTTCAACTGCGACGCAGGTTGGTCGATTGGATGGGTTGAGACAGCAACGTAGAGGAAAGCTGGGGATCTAAGTGTTGCAGGTATGACGACACAAGCCATCCGGGACGGCTTTCTCTGAGAGAGTTCGGAGTGTTGGTGTATCCGCTGGACTCAAAAGAGTACGAGGAGCCTGTGGCATTGCCAGCACTTCACAAGCGTCCGCATGCCTGGAAAGGCCCTCCGAAAATGTTCCACAGACATCGAGGCCAAATCTGTCCTCTACGTTCAGCAGAGTCTCGCCTGCAATGTTGAAGCGATGAAGAGGACTGATGGTGAAATTTGGAGCATGCGGACCTACCATTTTGAATCGGGGCTGTGAGCATACAAACGCCCTCATTATGCAGCATAGTATTGGACCAAGCAGTAGCTCACTGCATTTCGCAGCCTCTGGATTACGACATGCCATGGACCCTCTCAGCCAGTCTGCTGAGCGGAGACTCAGCCTCCCTTCAGGTCATGCCAGACGACTTGATTGACAATGTTCGCAAGCTGGTCCAGCTTAAGCTGAAAACGCCGATTCGGACTCTCATGAAGTCATCAGTACTGGACCCTCACTGCACGGTGGCCGGGTGTGGTCTCAAAGACGGCGATGAGGTCACTGCCATTGTTTCGCCTAAGATACAAGTTCGTTCCCACAAGTTCGGTTACGGTTTCGCTGCCATCATGCCTGACGGGCTATTGGACGTCTGGGGCCACGAGCATTTTTTTGGTGACATAGCTCCAAACAATGAGAAGGATCTGATTGATGTCTTTCTTTCGGAGACTGCAGTGGCAGCACTTCGGGCAGATGGAACTGTCATGACCTGTGGTTGGGAGCATGGTGGCGGAGATAGCAGTAGCATCAAGGATGAACTGACAGGCATCGTGCACATCGAGGCATCGAGAGGAGCCTTTGCAGGTCTGCGAGCTGATGGCAGCGTGGTAACCTGGGGGTCTCCGGATGCTGGAGGTGACAGTAGTGCGGTTAGGGGTGAGCTTGTAGGAGTTCAGCACATCTACAAAACCCAAAGCGCTTTTGCAGCAGTGACTCGCGCTGGTGCAGTCATAGCGTGGGGAGATCCCGACATGGGAGGTGATACTAGCAAGGTGAAGCCTTTGCTCGTTGGCGCCAGAGTCATAGACATTGCCGCCACAGTATCTGCTTGTGGTGCCGTTACAGATGCGGGCGGCATCATTAGCTGGGGGGAGGCAGAACATGGTGGAGATTGCAGTGCCCACAAGGATTTAAGAGGAGTCCAAAGGGTGTTTGCATCAAAACGAGCCTTCGCAGCTGTCCGGTATGATGGCTCTGTGGTGACGTGGGGCGATGCTCAGCACGGCGGTGACAGCTCCAAAGTTCGAGAGAGTTTGCAAGGTGTGCGAAGCATTGTAGCCGCCAAGGCGGCCTTCGCAGCTATAACTACAAAGTGCCACATCAACGTGTCCGATGGCTTGAAGATAGAGGTCAAGGCAAGCGTGATTACCTGGGGAGATCCAGGTTTTGGAGGGGAGAGCAGCAGTGTGGCAGAGCAGTTGGTGGACGTCAAGCAGATTGTTTGCACCCAGTATGCCTTTGCTGCACTTCGATCTGATGGCCATGTCGTGTGTTGGGGCTCCGAGAGACATGGTGCCAATAGCAGCACTGTCCAGGGACGGCTGACGAAGGTCTCCGAGCTGTTCGCAAGCCAGTCATCCTTCGCTGCACTTTGCACCAATGGAGATGTAGTCACATGGGGTCACGGAGACGACTGCTGCGATGATCCTGAACTTCAAAGCGAGCTAGTGGATATCCAGCAGGTGTGTGCCTCAAAGTTTGCCTTTGTAGCCGTTCGCTCTGATGGCAAACTCATTACTTGGGGTGATCCCGAGTACGGAGGATATCGTCCTGACAAATGATGAGCATGCTCCATTTTGAACCCGGCTGCGAATAGCGCGGAAGCCGTGAAAGAACTGTCATGCTCAAAGCGCCTAAACATTCAGCATTCAGCACATCTCGTTCAGGTGTCCAAAGGATGTCTTCAAACAAGACTGGCACTTTGCAAAGATTGTTGGCAAAGGTTTCACAAAAGCAGACGCCAGAATGAGCTTCAGCCCGGGAATGCTTTAGCAATACGTGATCCCGGGGTGATCCCAGGAATTCGGAAGCCTGCCCTACCTGCGGACTCCGGGTGCAGCGCGACTCGGACTCCACAAGCTGCCCTGAGGCCTGGCTGCTCATCCACGCATCTGGCCCTCTGCAACTTGAGAACCTGCCACCTTGAGAGGTTCAGTGCCCGTTGTGCCGGACGGTCTTCCGCTGCACGGCTGTCGCCAGCTCGCCTGCAGGCTTTCTGGCCTGCCAGATATCTTCAGGAGCTGAGGCTAAGAGAGTTTCATATGCAGGCTGGGAGGATGATACTGGTGCCAGCCGCCTGTCCGTTCAGGCGCAGTCACTGCGGATTGACAGCCAGTGTAGTATGCTGGACTTCCTCATAGCCCTTTAGCCTGATGAGCGTAAGCTTTCGAGTTTGTATCGAACCCGCACTGACTGCTGCAAGGCACGCCAGCAGCTGTACCGCACTGTCGTGGCAGAAGCATCGGCCGCGGAGGTCACCTGGCCTGATAGGCGCCCATGCTGATTCAGGCACCACCATCTTGCATATGTTGCCAGGAGCTGGAGAAAGACAGGCTGCGTATGCATGGACTCTGACGTGTGCTTCGCCTCATTTTTTTCAGTTGGAGGCTGCGACTCGCTCAGTTTATTGGCCGCTTCCTGAGTCGCGGAGTATGCAGTAGTAGCTCATACAGGACTGCTGAAGGTGTTGTCCCGCATCAGCCCTTTCAAGCTGCGAGGTCATGATATCACCGCTCTGAGCGATGTCTTCAATTTCCTTGCACAGGGCCGCCAGAGCTTCACGCTTCCTGACTTGAGGCCGACTTCTTGGGGACACTTCAGTTATGCTCTTTGTTCCTGTTCATGACTGCCAGGCGTGCCCTAACACATCTGCAGCTTCGATCATCTGAGATCCATTTGGAGCTGATATGGAAGCGATATGCACCACCCGGCCATGGGCCAAGCGAGGCAACAATTGCATAGATTATTTAAGGTCGAAGCTGCCTTTTTGCGTTCACTGCAGCCGTTGAGCTTTGGGCCATGCTTGGGCAACAGAACCTGGATAAGAGTGCAGCTTCGCAGGAATAGAAGGGTACACCAGCCTTAAGCTTGAGCCAATTGTAAGTTTCACGTAGACAAGATCTGTGAGTTGAGCTGAGCAGTGTGGGACCGCAGCCATGGAGCCTGCGGAGCTCACGGTTCCTGACACACTGCTCGCTGTGGACACTTCGTCGTTGAAAGGTGCGCTGAAGAGCAGAACTTCAGCCAAATTGTAGGCGTGCCCGTTGCCGAGCTTAGTATACATAGATCTAGAGAAAATTGATGAAGAGCAAAGCACGAGTAGGGTGGCTGTTGAAATGTGCGGTGCAGGCCTGCTTGAGGCGATTCTCGCGCGACTCCGGCTGTCCGAAACATCACTGGCAAAGCTTCAGAGCGACGGAGTGCTGCGGAGTCTTCGCGACAAGGAGGTGTGGAATGTGTGGTTGTGCAGATGGACTCTCCCAAGACAATTTCTGGCTCAGGCGGGCTTGGTGGCTCGCGTCGAGAAGCTTGAGATTGAGGTTGATGCGCTTCTTAACGATGAGATGCTGGGATCGGGCTGTCTAAGCCCGAGATCACAACGCTCCTTGGCACAAGTGTACCAATCTTGGTCTTGATGGCTGCTGCAGAAGTTGTTTACATCAGCACTCATGCGCTGTGCAGAGGTTGGGAGGATCGCTTCAACGATATGCAAAAAGGGCTTAGCCGCTGTGAGACTTATTTGCAACTAGCCCGCCCAGCACCTCTACTTGTATTGGATTGTTGGAGGTCTTTATCTACTGGTTATCAAGGAGTCTCGCGCGCAAGAAGCAGATGGCTTCATGCGGCAGATGCACGAGGACACCTGTTTGAAGTATTTTGGAGTGCATTGAATTTTTCTGCAACGCTGGCCAATGGATGACAAAGGCGACTCAGCAGAATGCTCATGACCTGGAGCTGCTCCAGGCCCGACTGAATGCCCGCAGCTCAGACCATTAATCCAGGTCAGGCAGTGTTCCGTCCATGACTGGCTCAGGGTTTGGGCCGATCTGTGGACACGCGCTTCGCTGAGACGGGTTGCCAGATAGAAGAGCTCAGCCAGGCTCAACGGCTTGACCCGAACACCCTGAGCCCAGCAACTCGAAGCACAGCCTGAGGTTACGGAAGAGCACGGAGCTGACATCCAGGACCTGCCGCTCGGCGGAGACTGCGCTCTCAGCACGCCCAGCAGGTTGTGCTGAAAAGCGCTGCTCAGGAAAGTCAAGATGCAAGAGGCTCTCAACTCGATCCAGAAGCTGGATTCACAGAACATGAAGGAGGAGCTGGACGCAGCGGTGCGCAGACTGGAAAATAGGCGTGAGACAGTCTTGTGAGCTGAAGAGGCATGCGAGGCATGCCAAAAGGATCTGAAAGGACTTGAACATTCTGCAAGGCTCTTCGACGAAATGCAGGAGTTGGCCGCTGAGCTCCGGGAGAAGCAGCAGCGCATACAGCAGGAGTTGGACAAAGTCGTATCCAGATTCAGGACACAGTACCTTGTCTAGTGGGGAAGCTGCCAACTTGATTGCAAGAGTGTCATCTACCGGCTGGCGCAAGGCTGTAGAAACGAAATTTTGAATTCAGAAATGGGCCTTTGGCTTGACATGTTGAGGTTGAATGGCCTTGTGGATTCAGCCTTGGAGAATCTGCGGCACAGCCTGGGACAGAAGGTTCTCATGCTGGATGTCAATGACGAAGCTGTAGCAGCCGGGACAACCAGGCATTGCATCTCATGCTTCAAAGATCGTTCCCAGTCTCCGTGTCGCGGAAGGATTGGCTTCTCCTCCGCAAGTTAACGTTGCTTCCCATAGGACCAGAGGGGTCTTGACATCGGCAGAGCAATTGCTTGAGGCAGCGATGGCCACGTGTACCATCACGCAGAAGAGGTCAGCGTGATCAAGGAGAGTGAGGAGGCTGAAGCCGTGGAACGGCCGACTTCGGCAAAGAGGTATGGTCATTTGTTTGCATTTTCATCATGCATGCGGTTGTTGGAAACTGCATGTTTGATAAGCAGGATCTTTTCGATTTGGCTTAGTATGGCTCAGGCATAAGTACTGCCGTCGCAGCGCGAGAGCTACTTGCCCAGCACTCACAGCCTTACCTTCCACGATCAGTATGGGTCTGCTTGCTGAGATATTCCAGCAGATCTGGCCGTCCGTCCCCTCGACCAACTTCTAGCAGAGGCCAAATAAATTGAATTGTCTTCCTTAAAGGAGTTGAGACTTTGCAACTGTGACAGGCCGAAACACTGAGAAGTATGTGGCCCAGTGGCAAATTCTATGCCAGTGCTGTCATGTTGACAGATCACGAGAGAGCATACCTGTGTTAGAGAGTCAATCACCTCCCCTCCTTGGACAACATCGGAGGACACCATGTTGGAGAACTACTCTCGCATGATGGCACGGGGCAATGACAAGAGCATCGGCAAGCTTTTGGGAATTGTACAGTAAGCTGCTCCTATCATGGGGCAAGAAGCAAAAGGTGGCCTCAGCTTGGAGTTTGCTGCCTGTTTCAGGTCTTTGTACATAGTGACGGTGCGCAGAAACTTGCGCTCGTGCTCGGGAGAAGTCGCTTCGGTTTCGCCTGTTTGACGTGCAGATGGGCACAGACCTCGGCGCTAACACGGCACTGAGACAGAAATCTGCACGCAAGCTGCACACACTCAGTGCGCTAGCTAGTTTGTCCACGGTGATGCTGCTGACTTCTCTGGCTGAGGCAGTGCGACCGTGTCGTTTGCTGACTTCGTTCGCCAATTGAAGCCGCTGACGAAGGCCTTGTCCTGCTATTGAGGCTGGACTCCGAGGCGGCCATAAATGCAGTGAGTGCAGGCATCAGCTTTCTGACCATCAGCTATGCTGACATCGTGCGAAAGCTGCCTGGCCGCTTGTGGAGCTGCTCGTGAAGGAAACATGTTACATGTTGCTTGAAGATTTGATGCGCAGTGGATTGGAAGACTTTCTCTTGGCAGGAGACGATGAACGAAGGGACCCTTGTTGACCCTTGGGCTTCGTGGAGAAGATTTGCCGCGGCTGAGCCGTCGACCTCTTGCGAGAGTACCCGAAACCGCCACTTCGACTTCACCGGCGACGTGGAAGGACTCCGAACCATGGTTGAGGTGGAGCATCTGAGAGCTGCAGCAGCAAGTTATGGGGTAAATGAAGGGCCGGAAGGCGGAATTTGAGAGGTACAGTGGGAGTTGTCTTTGCAGCTCCCTGCTTGCCAACTTCGGAAGAAGGCGTTTCACATTGCTGCATTGGTTGATGCTCACAATGTACATATTTCTGTTCTGTAATTGAAGGTTGGTCAGGCCTCATGCAGAAAAGAGTGCGCGTCTTACATGGCCCTCTGTCCGAAGCGGACCATGTTGAGACAACCTCAACCATGGGCAGCAGGAGGGATTAGTTGAAGTATCAGTTTGGTCCACCATGATGCGCTGTGGTATGAATGGTTTGACGGAAAGCGAGCTGGGCACACCCGAAGGCAATCGAGAGCACCCAAACAACGCAAGGTCGCGAGGCAGAGCGCCAGCACACTATGAAACCTAAGGCTTTGAAGGCCAGACTAGGCGCAGCATCGAGGAGTGGATGACATGAGTTACACTAAGCCAGACTTGCAGCTTCGGCCTTGGAAGCAGTCACGAAACGAAGCAGCCACAAGTCTCAGCAAGCACATCACCTGCTGTGGTGCTTCCAGGCATGCGAGACAAATGCAGCGGCTTTGCCCGTCTTAAGCCGTTGGTGGGCACTTCTCATGATGTGGAAAGCAAGTGGCGCGCGAAGTGTTCAGCAGCGCGGTTGCTGGATACGTACTTGGCCACCTCGCCAAAACCTCCGGTAGTGAATTCTGACTCTGCTTGGGGATGATCACCTTGGCAACGTGCAAGTGCGGAACCAAACCTGGGACGCGATATATGAGTGCTGTCGGCATCGCTAGCGTTCGATGCTTCTAGTGTACCCTGCGTCTTTCGCGCTAGTGCTGGCTTCGGTTCTGCAGCTCAGCCAGTCAGGCTTACGTGGCCAGGATTATGTGACTGTTGGGCCACACCTGGCTGCGTACACAGTTGCCGCGCATCGGTACACGGGACTCCTTCTGAGTGGCCTGCACGGGCGGTCTGCTCAGAAGTTGATGACCGTGATGACCGCTTGGGCAGTTGCCCAAGCAAGGCGCGTGCACGCGCACATTCCTCCGAAGTGCGGGACGGATGCGGGATGCATGCAGCGAGGACAGAAATCCCGTTTGCCACCCGCTATGCTGTTGCATGCCTCTCCGTCGCAATGAGGCGAAGTTTCTTCTTCAGTCGGCCCAATAACACACCTGATCATCAGCGTCGTGCAAGTGTGTAGAGTTTTTCCTGCAGAGAACATGGAAGTGATGGGCATCCTTATCATTAGGGGAAGGGAGATTACAAAAATGCAGAAGGATTCTTGGTTGACAAAGTCAAGGACCGGCAAGAGGGGGGATTCCTGCCATCAGTGGCATCTGCACTGCCATAGCCTTAAACCGGGTGAGCGAAAGATGCACCCGACCGCCTGTCTCTATTCGAAGTGGAAACACATGAGCACTTCCGGCCTCAACATCCACACAGGGAGACAGGAGACGGCGCGTGCTGCAAATTTATTACAACATAATACAGCGCACGAAACTTGATTTGGCACACGGAGGCCCAAATACATGCAGAGGTGGAGTTAGACTGATCTGCGGGCGAGCCGAACCTTTATGGGACCCTCAGAGACATGCGCCAGCCTTGGCACGGGTTTTCAGGCGTCGCCATGCATGTGTCGTCTGCGCGCGACGTTTCGAGGTGTCCGTAAACCACAGATGCCATGCTGGGCATTGGTGCCACGCATTTGTCGTCGGCGCATGGACAATTGACCCATGGAATATGACGGGATGTTTTGATGCTGGATGTAGCTGGGGGCAAGGGCCAAGTCTGTGGCAGTGAATGGTCATGGCTTTGGATGCTTCCCTGACGCCTGCCAAGGCGCCTTGTAACGAGAATGCAATCTTCAGTCATGGTGTCGGCCTGGACTTGTTTTGTAGCAGCTCCTGGGATCTGATCCACCTAGTTGTCGAGCAAACCCTGCCCTTGCAAAATGGCAACTGTTGGCACGCGAGCGCCAGCTGGTGGGCAATGAAATTGCGATCATTTGCCGCAGATGTACTACCATGTACAACAGCTGGTGAGATCACTTTTTATTGATTAGGAATCTTTCAATGACCGCCTGAAGTGTGGCAGAAGGCGGTGCATGCGCAGCAGGCACTGTGCCTGAGTTTGGTTCTTTTTTCGCGTGTGTAACATGCATTTGCGCTTTTCACGTAGATCTGCCATGATTCGCTGAATTGTGTGTTTGTGCGCATGGAAAAATGATGTTCGCCCGAAACACAATACACCTGGCTGGCTTGCTTGCAGACGCGCCGAATCATTTTTCCGTGCGTGCATGACAAACACATGGCATGGTTTTGGATGTGTGTACCTCCTGTGCGTTTTTTTGCTTCAAGAATTCTGGAAGGAGGTCGGGCTGCCATTGCGCGGGGCAAGGTTGGGGTTGAACCCGGCCCGTTCATGCCACGCAGGTGGCTGCGTAGCGTCCAGAGTTTTTTGTTGATTTCCTGTTTTGCTGAACGCCGTGAAGGCTATTGGTACACTACTTTGCAAAGCCACCAGACCCTTCGCGCATGTCTGACACCGAATTGGCCAGACACCACTTCAAACGATGAGACCTAGCCAGTTGCGCGCAGCTCAATACACCCAAGTTGGCATGGTATCATGCACTTGCTTTCCGCGAGCTCGTGGGGACTTTTTGAAGGTAGAAGCTTGTCCAGCCCAGTCTGCAGCAGACCCCATTCCCAGAGACCGAAAAGAAACTTGCAGGCGGCACGTTCTAGACGTTTCAGCAGCACGACGCTTCAGAGGTGTAAATGAACTTACACTCAACGATGTCATTGCTGAACCCCCCGTGTCCGTGCGTATTGCTAGCTGCGTGCCCTGAACTAAAGGCCTTCCGCGGAATTCTGTGTGTCACGGGCTTGGGATCAGCATCTTGCGCGACACTGATTGCAGAGAGGTTGGGGGAAAAATGCAAGCGAACATGTCGCTTCGGAGCTTGGTAAATGTACCGGCGCAACACGCTGTCCGCGGTGTGTGGATGACACGTGCGTAGCACCCCGCACGAATTTTGTCGGCGGTGCATGCCTGCCGTTCCGCGCGGCCCCCCCCAGCGCGGTACCCCGAACGTCTCCAGGCGTCCTGGTGAGAAAGATGCAACTCGAGCGTGCTCCGGTTTCCAGCCGCTGTGGCCAGCCGCTGCTTCCAGCGCAACGGGTCCTTGAATTCCCGATCAGCGCGGGTTGCTTGATCGGTGCTGCATACCCCGTCTCCCGCGCCCACGTGCCCGGCCATGGCGGCAGCCGCAGTGGGGGCTTCTTCATCGTCACTGCGGGGCGTCACCAGCCTCCCCCACAGGTTAGCCACCAGCGGTGACTGTTGGGCGTTGTGGGCGTGGCGGCAGAGTAAGCGCGGGGGGTTGGCAGAAGCCTCGGACAGGCGATTGAATTCCATCACAAAGTGACGCCCACTGAAGAGCTGCAAGCAAGCTTGTTCGTTGGACCGAGCCTGCCCCGCGCCTGCAAGCGCCCTGATGTGACAGACATGCTTGGCAATGATCCAGCCGAGACCATTGATGCATTTGAGGCACCTCGGGGTGGCCTCAAACCTCAGGGTCAATTTGACTTTTATGGTGATGTGCACGTAGAGTTTCTCAATCATCAGCATCAATCACTAGGAAGGTGTAAAGTGCCATCGATGCTGAGAATTTGACTGACATTGTTTCCCCAGGTGGAAACACTAGCTCAAGCCATTTTGGCTCAAGCCTTATCGTGTTAGGATCTGCAAAATGCACCACCAAGGATACCATTTCATGTCAATTTCCAAGGCTGCTTTATTCATGTGATGGTTATGCGGTTAGGAATGTTTTTGTTGTGGGTGGATTGTGGTCTGCAAGGAGAGTGAGAGTGAAACCTGCGTGCCGATAGGCAGCCCCTCTGGGGCGCAGGCAAACAGTCAAAACGGCAAATGACGTTGTAGTGCTCGCATGTTAAAATTACCACCAGTTGACGGCATGCCGTCGAGCATGTCACACCCCGGCTGCTCTAGCAGACCTTGCCATGAATTTTGACCTTTTTT